TGTGTTATAGATTTTCCCCACAACAGCCCCAATTCCACCCAGATGAATTTATTCAGAATCCAAGCAGTCTTTGTCCTATTGCAGACAACGAGAGCATTTGCGATGAGACAGTCACAGTCCAACAAATTAAAGCAATTTTATAATTAGACATTTTTTTGGTTGTCCTTGGGGTACCCCTTCCATTGTTCTTGAAGCTCCCCTTTTACTGTGCCTCTTACGTGCAAGGCTGCCCACGTTGATGGTGGTTGAGCGGCAGCTGCCCACATCCTCGTGTGCCTTCACTGCCCACTTGCACGTTATTTCAGGAGGCTGAGTAAAAGGGAAGGTATGCTCCTGTGCATTTCTCTTCAGAGCTTCATACTCCTGTTCATTTCACTTCAGATCTTCAACGTATACAATCTTTGTATTCGTCCGTCATCTTCATACTTTCGTTCATTTCATTTCTTATCTTCATATTGTCTGTTCTCGTAACGATGCTCATTCGTATGTATTCGTTAGTAGCACAAAGGGAGTGGAGGGGAGGGTGGAGGGAAAGGGATAAAAGGCGGAGTTCTATAGGACACGGGAGGTGGGGGCAAAGGGAAGGAAAGAAATATGTGAAGGGCAGGATAGAGTATAACATGCAAAGAGCAGGGGAAAGGTGAATGATGAGCTTCGCAAAAGTCTAAATATTCACTGCTCAAACAGACTACTCTAGCATGGCACAGGGTTGCACCAAAAAAAAAAAAGTAAAAAAAGATCAGCAGTTAATGCCTATGGCAAGTGGCCACCCCTACAAACCGGACAGGACCAGTTCTGGTGTGGGCTATGGAAGCACCGCATCCAATTTTTGTCGTCACAGTTGTTGCATCGAATGGCACGGCGCAGACAGATGTTACAGGCTATGTGGCTCCTACATGCTAGGAACACAGAGGCACGCCGACTGCAATTATAGAGGCATTGTCGTTCCAGCCCCTGTCTACAAACAGGACATGACATGTCAGGGTGCCGTACATCAGTACAGTACCGACTATCGTCGTACGTACGAAAGGCAAAACTCACATGGACTATCCCTTCATAATCCTCCCAGCACAAGTCATGCGAACCACATGCTAGTTGAATCTCCGACGGGTCATCACAAAGCGGCACACGCACACACGCCCGCACGAGCGGGCAGAGAAAATCAAGAAATGCGGCCGAAAAATTCAAGAAGAATCGACATTTCTTAAATTTCTTGATCTTCTTCTCTTCACCAGGTATGTGTGCGTGTGTGTGTGTGTGTGTGTGTGTGTGTGTGTGTGTGTGTGTGTGTGTGTG